CTAGTCAATCTGCTAGGCCGATCTATTGGGACCAACTCATCCACTCTCGCGCCTTATCATCTTCCCTCGTCGGGTCTCTCCAGCCACAGTAACCAAACGGAGTCCCTTCGGAAAATTGTTCAGCTTTCCATCAATTCCTGGTTGTCACCGGGCCACATCAGACAGCAAAAGAGGGGAAGCAAGCTTCTCTCGGTGAACAACACCATAATGTGTGTGGCTGGGAATTGAATTCTGTCCCGGTCCGATGGCAAAATGGCAAATGAGAATTCACCTTGGATCGGACAACATCAGTCTGGCTGGCATGATGATGCTCATATCATGATGACGAGCAGTGGCTGGAACGGAGTGCGATCGTCGCTTTGCTGTTGATCAGCCCAAAAGTCAAAATGCAAATCTAGCATTTCGCGCGCTCCTGATCGGAATTCCCCTTACGCTGGCCTCCCCTTCAATCGTCATCGACTCCTCCACTTACAGGAGTGTGACCCGGGCGACCCAACGATCCCATCTGAGATCCAGAGTTGACCTGCCAGTGGCATCGCCTCTCACTCGTCCTGCGCGGCCCCAAGTGGAGTGGCTTGTTCCCTCGTGGGTGGCACTAGCTTCATTCCCTCTCCATCCCACCCAGACTTGACCAAAGCCCGGATGAGCTCCCCTTTTAGCTCTTCTCGTGATGCTAGCCTGAGATTTCCTTCAAGGGAACCATTCTTTCGGTTCAGCCGAACCCATTGCCATTCCTAGGGGTCCAATTGGCATGCGCTGAGCTGTGCATCCAATCTGCTTTGCCGGCTCATTTCTACCATTTCACTTTCTTTTTTTTTTTTCTTTACAGTGGGCAGATCAGCAAACCCACTTCAAGTCCCAGGCGACCCAAACAGAAAAAGGTTTCCTTTCCTTGGGTGGCTCCCCTTCTCCCTTTAAGCTTTGCGCCCCTTGAGTCTATCCTTCGCTTTTCTCATTTTTCGTTTAAACAAACCTACCTCCCTCCCTCCCTCCCTTTCGTTTCTGTCCAGCTGCCCTGTTTGGATCTCACACTCTTTCGATCCTGGCCGTGCCCTTGCCTGTGATCCCCTCCCCCTCTCTGCGGTCGACCGCTCTCGATCGTGCGACATTCTGCCTCTTGACGTAACCGCACCTATATTCTACTTGACCACGGCAGACTCGTACTGCCACGGGCATTGATTCGTGCCATCATGGCTATCCATGATGTCGGCCTGGAAGGCCTTCATCAGCTATTCCAACGGGTGAGTCCTAATGGTGTTGTGGGATTGCGCTCGGTCGCATTCCTTGATTGATGCTGAAGAGCGCATCTCTAACCCTTCCACAGAGCAGTGATGATCCGCAAAGCGCTTCCAACTCGGCCTCGGGCCTGGTCACGACCTTGGTCCCCTCCTTGATCTCTGCCGCGGCCATGGTAATCATCTTCATTATTTTGCGACGCAGGGAAACTCGCATGTACATGCCCCGAACCTACCTGGGTGTTCTGCGCCCCTCGGAGCGTACTCCCGCTTCTCCTACTGGCCTCTGGAACTGGATTTTGCAAATGTACCGGCTGCCCGATGAATATGTCTTGCAGCATCACTCCATGGATGCCTATCTCCTCTTGCGCTTCCTGAAGGTTGTGTCGATGATTTGCTTCGTGGGAGCTTGCATGACCTGGCCTATCCTGTTCCCGGTCAATGCAACGGGCGGCAACGGCAATCAGCAATTAGATATGCTGAGCATGTCGAACGTCAGCGCTGATAACTATGCTCGCTACTTCGCCCACGCATTCATTGCATGGCTCTTTGTCGGTGTGTACTTCTGTAAAGTATGGCTCGGGGGTGTCCGTCACTAATGGTATTGCTAGGCTTCGTCTTCTACACGATCACCCGCGAATGCCTGTTCTACATCAATCTGCGCCACGCTTACGCCCTCGCTCCGGCATATGCCAGCCGTCTCTCGTCTCGCACCGTGCTCTTTACTGCGGTCACCGAAGATTACTTGAGCCGCGAAAAGATTCGGCAGATGTTTGGTCCCGAGAAGGTGAAGAATGTCTGGCTTACGACCAACACCAGCGAATTGGACGATAAGGTTGCCGAGCGCGAGGACGCTGCGATGAAGCTCGAGGCGGCGGAGACGAAGCTCATCAAATTGGCAAACGCTGCTCGCCTGAAGGCCCTCAAGAAGCAAGGGTCCGTGGAGGAAGGCCAGAACGCAGGCGATAGCCTTTGCGACGATGACGATGAGTCCGGCTCGGTTGCAGCTCGCTGGGTTCGACCCCAAGACCGTCCTACCCATCGGCTCACATTCCTGGTCGGTAAGAAGGTTGATACCATCAACTGGGCGAGATCTGAAATCGAGCGTCTTCAACCCGAGATCGAGGAACTTCAGGCCAAACACAGGGAAGGTAATGCGGACCTGGTGTCGTCTGTCTTCGTTGAATTCCACGCCCAGGCCGATGCTCAGCAGGCTTTCCAGTCTGGTTAGTGTTCCATGTCGTCCGTCTTTTGTGTCCAGCTATGCTAACTCGCGCACAGTGGCCCACAACTACCCCCTGCACATGGCGCCTCGTTACATCGGCCTGGAGCCCACCCAGGTCATCTGGTCCAACTTGCGCATCAAGTGGTGGGAGCGACTCGTTCGTTACTCTGTGACCATCGCATTTGTTGTCGCTTTGATTGTCTTCTGGGCCATTCCCACTGCCGTGGTTGGCTGCATCTCGAACATCAACTTCCTGACTGAGAAGGTTCCTTTCCTTCGCTTTATCGATGACGTTCCAAGCTGGATTCTGGGTGTTATCACGTCTCTTCTGCCTACGGTCATGATGTCCGTACTCATGGCCTTGCTGCCAATTATCCTCCGATGTAAGTTGCAACCCTAGGCCTCCATGTATGTGAAGTCTGAGCGCATTCTCATCTGTCGATAGTGATGGCCAAACTCGGTGGCGCTCCCAGCTTGGCTGCCGTGGAGTTGACTACACAAAACTTCTATTTCGCATTCGAAGTCATCCAGGTTTTCCTGGTTGTCACTATTTCATCTTCCGCCTCCGGTGTCGTCTCCGATATTATCAGCGATCCCACTTCCGCTGCGTCTCTGTTGGCCCAAAAGATTCCCACCGCTTCGAACTTCTACATCTCGTACATCGTCCTGCAGGGGTTGTCTTTCAGTGCCGGTGCTCTGCTGCAGATCAGTGGACTAATCCTCGGCAAGGTCCTGGGTCGGCTCCTGGACAACACGCCGCGAAAGATGTACAGCCGTTGGTCCAACCTTGCTGGTCTGGGCTGGGGAACTGTGTATCCTATCTTTACCCTTCTCGCTGTGATTGGTAAGTAACTGTTTGTTAAGGATGTAAGGAACGGCCAGCTGACAATACATACAGCTATCGTCTACTCGTGTATTGCACCCCTCGTGCTCGGGTTCGCCACCATCGGTCTTTACCTCTTCTACTTCGCCTACCGCTACAACATGCTGTATGTGTCGAACGCCAACATTGACACCCAGGGCAAGGCCTACGTCCAGGGTCTGAAGCACCTGACTGTGGGCTGCTATCTCCTGATGGTCTGTCTGATTGGTCTCTTCGCCATCGCTACCGCTGCCGACAGTATTGCCACTGGACCCCTGGTCCTCATGATCATTCTGCTGATCTTCTGTGTTCTGTACCACGTGGCCCTCAACAATGCCCTGGAGCCCCTGATCCACTACCTGCCCAAGAACCTCGAGTCGGAGGAAGAAGCCCTGCTGTCTCGCGAGCAGACCAAGGTGAGCCAGTCCGGCGAGGCGTCGGATGACGCCGCCGGCGGCGGCTCCAAGGCACGCGACAGCGGCGTGGCCAACATCGATTCCGCCGAACGGGGTCTGACCTCCGACGAGCCCCAGGCTAAGCCCAACTTCCTGCTCCGGTACCTTCGTCCCGACAGGTACGACAGCTATGCGCACATGCGCCGCCTGGTTCCTAGCGGACAGGAGATCACCAAGTATGACCCCGAGGTGGAGCGGGACGCTTACTTCAACCCCTCCATCAAGGCACAGGCTCCTCTGCTCTGGATTCCTCGCGATGAGCTCGGTGTCAGTCGCCAGGAGGTCAAGCACACCTCCCGGGTCATCAAGATCACCGACGAGGATGCCTGGCTGGACGAGAAGAACCACATCTGCTGGGACTTGGACAAGGGTGTTCCTCCGATCTTCAAGGAGAAGGTTTACTACTAGATACCCAGACACAAGGAAAAGAGAAAAGAAAAATGATGTGTATGGATATTCTACCGACTGTTGGATGATAATGGTGATGGTGATGGTGATTGTGATGGGCGAATAGTTTACAGAGAACCTTGATACCCACGGATTTGAAGGCCATAAGAGTATATGGCTGGCTTCTGGAAGATAAAGATAATACGGATGTTCATGTTTTATTTCTAATTATACTAACTAATTATGAGTTTTAAGTGTTGAGAAGAAGAAATGGCCGTGATGTTTACATACATATATGCAAGGTTACTATAAATATCACATAATGATCGTTGAAATGAATATCCCCCTATTACCTCAAACCGAGCTGTTATTACTATGATAAGATTACTCCCCCCTCACCAGGATGAACCCTCTCCCCAACCCCTCCTCACCCCCATTCATCCGATCAAACCAACGCCTCACCCAAGGAAGCAACCTCAGATCATACCCATATTGATCCGCCGCCGCGGCATACGCGAAATGTACTATATCAGCCACCGTACTGTCATGTCACCAATAATTAGCCCTCATCATATCTCTACACATTCACCCACCCACACAAGGAAAAGGAAAAAGAAAAGGAAAGGGGCAGGAAATACTATCTCCCCCTCCCAACCAATCACCACCGCACCCGCACCCCACCTCTGCTGGTACAAAGTCCGCTCTAGACGGAGATATACACTGTATAACCTCTCCTCAAAGGGAATAGTCATGAACATATATTCTCAATAGGTGTGGTATTTTCATTCAACCCAAACTCAGTTATCAATGGAGAGTGTTGTTTTTTGGTGTTGATGTTGATGTTGATGTTTGGGATGAGGATGAGGATGAGGAATCATGGTGGGTGTGGCTGTGGCTGTAGCTGTCGAGGAGGAGGTGGAGGGTTTAACGGAGACTGTGTTCTTCGAGGATGATGGCGATGGTGGTGCCGGTAATGGAGGCTTTGGGGGTGGTAAGGGTGATGGTGCTGGGTTCTTCGGTGAGGTTCATTGTACTACTATTGTTTCGTCGTAGGTAGTAGGCTGTGAAGTGTTGGAGGGGGGCGGGGGAGAGAAGAGAAAAGCAGGGAAGGAATAATTTGGATAGTATAGATGCAATGCAGATGGAGATGATCATGATAATCTGGGGGGAGGGGGATCGTGCTTGACGTCACGGGCATACGTGAGAAAGGGAAAAGTTCAGGAACTGGTTTGGGTTTACAGGAACTGGTTAATTTTAGATGTCGGTGATACGGAGTTACATTATGTCATTATGCCTGTGATGCTTGTCTGGATGTATTTTCAATTCCAATGTTTGTTTTAAGTTCCCTGCATCCATCTCAATGTAGTATCTTCAGTCTGCAAACTATTGGATGGGATTGGATGAATGCAAAGCCGAGGTGTCACAACCAAAAGAGTAGAAAGTAATTAAAATGGGCGGGTCTGGCCACCGCGAGCTTATGGCCCGCCCCACCAATCACAAACGATGGCCGGGCCTAGCTCGGTCGTCGTGCAGGTCGGCACTCCCTTCCTCGGCATTTTATTGGCTGGGATTGACAGTTTCGGCCGGCGGAGAACGCGGCGTCATCAAGCCGTTACGTTTGCCGTTTTGGCCGAAAAGGGTCTGTCTGTCTAGTTTGCAATTCTGCAAGATTGCACGCCCACAATTACCATCGCCCCCCTGTGAATTATTCCTGAGCAAACATACATCTCTGATCAACATCTCTGGTCCTTCCAGATGAACCATGGTTTGACTGTCCGATCCGCCACCATCGCCGTGCCTGTGTGACTTGTGTGACTTGTATCCCCCCGGAGGGGTTGCGCTATAAGTATCCGATTGTACTCCCCCACACCGGCCAGGGGATTGAAGCAGGATTCGGCAGCAATAACAGACTCCCAACCCCACGCGATCATGATACAGCCCACCCCTGTTCCTCGTGATATCCTCATCGTTGGTGCCGGCATCGCGGGTCTGGCCAGCGCCATCTCTCTCGCCAAGGAACTGGTTTCCTCCATCCCCAACCTCAAAATCTCCGTCTTCGAAGGCGCACCAGGACTATCTGCCTCAGGGGGCGCCATCAGTCTGACCCCAACGGCGCAAAATTACCTCGATAAGCTGGGCGTCTTGTCCGAACTCAATCGCATGGGCAGTGAATCCGGCATCGAAGTCGATCTCATTGAACTCTTCTCCCTCCGCTCAGGTCGCAGACTTGGGCCCCTCAAATTCACCGACGAGAATGGCTTCGGTTACGGTGGCTACAAGGGCCGTCGAGTCATGCGAAATGCCCTCTCGCGCGCCATGTTATCCGTCATCCAAAATCACCTTCCTTCGGTTTCCGTCTACTTCAACAAGAAAGTGGTAGGCGGCACCACAACCGACTCCTCCGTCACCTTATCTTTCGAAGATGGCTCCTTCGCTACCGGAGATCTTGTTCTGGGCTGCGACGGCGTCCACTCTATCACGCGCACTCGCATTGTCGATCCCGGCAACCGCTCCGAATACACCGGCATCTCCTTCATCCAGAGCGTCTCCGACGCCCACGATCTCCCAGTCCCCATGCATTTCAACCAGACCGCCATCCACCTCACCCGCCATAGTTCCCTCCTTACCAGTTACTGCGACCCTGATCGCCAGAAGATCTTCTCCGCCGCCATCCTCCGTGTGAACGAACATCTCATTGAGCGCTACCAAGCTACCTCGAAAAGCGATTGTCCTGAACAAGCCAGCATGAAGATGTCCATTCGCTATCTGGTGCGCACACAGTTCGCCAAATCCGCCCTCCCTAGCATTCGCGCACTGCTCGACCACACTGAAGATTGGGCCTTGTACCCGGTATATCAGGTCCGACAACGAGGGAAATGGCACAAGGGACGGATTCTTCTCCTGGGGGATGCTGCGCATGCGGTAAGCCATAACCTAACCTCCATATTTTATCTTTTGAAGCAGATATTGATCATCGAATATAGATGCCTCCCCGCGACGAATCCGCCGCATACTCCATCGAAGACGCCCTCATTTTCACACAAATCTTCTCCCGCAACCTGCACGCCCCTCTCTCCACGACCTTCCAAGAATACGAGTCCCTGCGCCGCGAGCTCGTCAACAAAGTCTTTGACGCCTCCCGCCGTCTCTGGCAGAGTGATCTCGACAAGGGATTGTTTCCGGGCCACGTTCGCGAACTCATGTCACCGGTGCACATGTCGCCGGGAGGTTGTGTCCCGGCGCCAACGACAACGATAGCATCAGCGAGGCCGGGCATTCCAGCGGCCACGCATCAGAGCTTCTCGGATCTGTCGGTGTACTCGTTGACCCGGGAGTTCCAAGGGGAGATTGAATCATAGTTGATTTGAGCTATGGATAGATACAAGGACGGCATATAGAGGTGTTTACAAGGTCCTTACTTCGGGTTTATGTTCTCGTGCGGGTACGCAATGTTTATTCTTTCACACGGATGGATCATAGAAATTAATGGGATCTGGAATGGGACAGGACAGGACAGGACATATGGCTAGAAACGATCGTTACGACCACACTACAAGCAATGATAATACTTCTCTTACAAACGAACTACACCTTTCTTCATCACTTAGTGACTTTCAGACATTACCCACGTGGTTCATATCAATTAGCCCTTTCTCGACTAAAAAGGTTAGTGAGAAGGGGTTGATTTGTACCGTTGCGTCAAAAGACCAAGTATCTGTCTCCGGGCCCCATTTCATCTGGGGCATTGCTTCTGGACTTCTGAAAATTGGTATTCCAATCTCATCGCCCGGTGGGGTGCGCAGGGAGATCTTGGCGACCGTGCTGCCGAACCCGGCGAGGTGGATGTCGGTGAAGCGGTTTCTTTGCTTATCATTTTTATTTCGAATGTTGGTGTTGGATTGGTGGTGGTTCACAAGGATGTTGCTTTGTTCGATGTCTAATTTCATCATGTTTGACTATTGTAGTATGCAGCACATGCCACTATCAACCAACCCATCTCCATGCAACAGCTGACGCTTTCAACACTCTCGCTACATATACTATTTCCTCATTTGTGAGCCTTTCACGGTTCTTCAAAGTACTAGTAAATCATCATCGAGATACATTACGATGAGAGCTGGTGGCCCCGAAGGGTCCTCGACGAAGTCGAGAAGTGGGCGAATAAGTGGTTGTCTTTGATTAGGTGCTTATTGTTATGGCCATTTTGGACCAGCTGAGCTTAGCTGTGTAAATGAAGTAGATTTATTGGAGGATTGAGTGTAGATCTAGAAGGATGGAAGTGATCCACCGTGGCGTCACCGCCCGGGCGTGCCTGGTTTTCTGCCGTCCATTTTTTCCGTTTATCAAAAGATCCCCGAAATCCGTTGCTTCTCCGTTCACCTCCTCCCTCTCATCCTCCCATTCTCCCTCCTTTTGTCTTATTTATTTTCCCATCTTCATTGGTTCAATAGATATATCTTTGTTTTTAATTGTTTTCCTGTTACCCTTTTACTCTTCCCAAGCTCCTCATCATGCTGGGCGCTTTCCGCCGTTCCGCCGGCGCCGTCCATGCGCTGCGAGCTTCACGATCTCTGCTGGCCAGATCGATTCCTCAGCAACCCCAATGGCTCTCTGCTTCAGCGCCTGCGGTCTCATACGGTGCTCGCGCCCTCTATCATCCGTCCCCGGCTTTTCTTGATGCCAGAGCAGCAGCTCGGGCGCAACTCAACGTCGCCGCCGACATCGAGCCCCGGCTCCCCAGTACCGATTTCCACAGCCTGGCACAAGACGGCCTGGTCAACGACAGACTGATCCGAACCGTGACAAATTCTATGAAGATTCAAACTATGACTGATGTCCAAGCCAAGACGATCCGTGAAACACTGAGCGGCGATGATGTGTGAGTAGTTCCTCATCTCTGCCTCCCTTCTTTCATCCTCTTGCAATGGCGGCTGACTCTGATTTTTCTTCCCATACAGCTTGGCACAGGCAAAGACCGGAACCGGAAAGACCCTGGCGTTCTTGATCCCCGTCATCCAGCGCCTTGTTAATGATCCGTCGATCAAACGCTCGCGTCCCGGATACCGGGGGAGAAACCCACCCGACATTCGGGCGATTGTCATCTCTCCGACTCGTGAGTTGGCAGAACAGATTGCCAACGAGGCACAACGCTTGGTGTCTGGATTGGGTTTGGCCGTGCAGACGGCAGTTGGCGGCACTCAAAAGAGATTGCATCTAAACAAGATCCGGACCGAGGGCTGCAATATCTTGGTTGGAACTCCTGGTCGTCTGAAGGATCTTCTTTCCGATCCCTACAGCGGTGTCAAGGCGCCGCAGCTTCAAGCTCTCGTCTTCGACGAGGCTGACCGCTTGTTGGATGATGGCTTCTCGCAAGAGATCGGTGAGATCAAGGACCTCCTGCCAGCACCCGAAGAGGTCGACCGCCAGACCCTGATGTTTTCCGCCACCGTACCAGGTGAGGTTATGGACATGGTGCGTCAGACTATGAAGCCTGACTTCAAGTTCATCAAGACTGTCTCGGAGGATGAGGTGCCCACCCACTTGCGGGTGCCCCAGAAGGTTGTCTACTTGGATGGTTTCCAGAACGGCTTGCCTGCTATTCTAGAGCTGGCAAAGAAGGGTTACGCTGAAAACTCGCATTTCAAGGCCATTGTCTACCTGAACGCAACAACGATGGTCTCGCTGGCCAATGACATTTTCAGGCGGCTTCAGAATGATCCTGAGGACCGTACCAAAGGACATGCTCTCAACCGTCTCCCTATCTACCAAATTCATTCGCGGCTGACTCAGGCGCAAAGAACTCGTGTCACGAGTACTTTCCGCAGCGCGTTCCGCGGCATTCTCTTCTCCTCCGACGTGACAGCCCGTGGTTTGGATTTCCCCGACGTCACGCACGTCATCCAATACGGACTTCCCAACGAGCGTCAAACCTACATCCACCGCGTGGGGCGCACGGGCCGTGCGAACAAGGAAGGTGAGGGTTGGATCTTGCTGCACAAGAACGAGAAGCGTGCCTTCAAACAGATATTGGGCGACCTGCCTATCGAGGAGGATCAGACCTCGGTTCCCGTTGCGCATATCAACATGCGCGAAGAGATTGAGGACGATGGCTCAGAGACGAGCCGAACTCTACAACAATACAAATTCGCCGCGCAGGAGGTTTCCATCGACGATCGAGTGGAGGCATGGAGGTCCCAAGCGGGTACCATCATAGGCAAACTCCAACCTCTGTCGACGACCCTGCCTGCCATGCATGACCTGTGCACCTATGGATACTTGCTGCCCAAGCCTCCGCAGCTCCCTTTGAGGATCCAACAAGCTCTGGAGAGGGGCGACAAGCCCCCTCCGAGGTCCAAGCGTGGTGGACCCCGCGACTTCAGGTCCCGGGATTCCTACAGGCCCCGTTCCAGTGGTGGCTACAATGACCGCTATAATGACCGCTACCAACACTCTTCATCCCGCGATTCCCGCAATCCTTGGAACGAGAGAGGCTCCTCTCGTGGCCGTCGCGAGGGCCGTCGTGAGAGCCGCTCCTACAACCGCTACTGATCCCGGTGCTTGAGGCCAGGATCATTAACGCTCTTCGATACCCTTCCTATGAAACGCAGCCCTGCTAAAATTGACCTTTGAAAACGGCTTGTTATAATAGTGCCGCATATCTATTCGGGATTGAGCTCTTCCTTTCTTCTTCTCATTATGGTTGGACTGCGTGCAATATGTTTCTCTTTAAAAATGTGTTCGATATGTGATCGGCTTGTATACTACATAACAGATACCACGTGAATATGGCATAGTCTCTACTCTAGATATAAAATATACTTGTATAATATGATGGAAATTCCAACATACGACCCTATTATTATCAGTTCGTATGACGTAGGGAAATAAATCAGAAAATGGCCTGCTTTCCAGTCATCGTAACGTGACCACTTCCTACGAGACCGTCAGTATATCACCGTATAGATGATTTCGACAAATAGTATATATGATTGGTTCTACTAGTATCGAAGCCAACGTAAAGAGAATAAAATGCTTTTGATCTATCCATAACCCCAAGACAGTCAGTCCTAATATAATACATACACATACATGCTGCCATCTATATTCAATATAAAAAAGAGAAACCATAACAATCGCTATCAAAAGCATCATTAAGCATCCTCCCCATTCTTCATCTTCTCACTCTCTGCCTTCTTCGCCGCAAACCTCTCCCTAGCCAACTCAATCTTCGACTTCGGTTTCTGACCTCCCTCACCACTAACATCCAACCCCTTCGCCTTGGCCGCCCACTCACCTCTCCGACGCTTATACAAGTCCATCGACCAATTGCGCCACACGGCACGACCGACAAACGAATCCCTCAGAGCCATTTCACTCCTTGCCAGTTCCTGCGCCATGCGCTCCTTGACGAAGAACACGTCCTTCGTAGCGTGCCAGAGGGCATCCACGACGCGGGATCCGCTGCTGTCCAGGGCCAGTTCTTCGAGATGGCCTGTGAAGCGGGCGGTGAATTGACGCCGGAATTGCGGCGTCGAGGTGGGCAGAGTGAGGGATTTTTGGATGACGTGGGAGGCGGTGGGGTCTTTGGCGATGGTGAGGAGGGATTCGGGCGTTTGGGAGAGGAGGCTGCTGTAGACGAGGGCGCTGAGGGGGCCCGGGGCTGTGAGGATGGTTTGCACGAAGAGGGAGTTGTGGAGTTTGGCGCCTTTGGGGTTCGTGTTGATGTTGGCGTTGGCGTTGTCGGGGTCGAAGTTGGGCATTGTGGGGGGTTGTGGGCGGTCTTCGTCTTGGTCTTCGTTTTGATTTTGTTGGGATTGGGGTTCAGAGGTGGTGGTGGTGTCCTCGAGAGTGAGCATTTGGGCCAGTCGCTTGGCCGGGTCGCTGTCGTAGGCAGTTTCAAGGGAGCGTGCGATTGGGGTGGTGTCGACGCCGCGGACGATGCATCGCTCGACTAGGGTTTTGGGGACGATGACGCGGGAGCGTTCGATGAGGTTGGGGATCTGCGGGACGAGGAGTTCGACGGCGTTTTCGAGGTCGTCTTTTCCGAGACGTTCTAGGACTTTGAGCACGACATAGCCGGCTGTGATGTTGCGCGACAGGGAGCGGAGTTGGTCGCGCAGGAAGTTCTTGTAGAGTCCCTTGAATAGCTTGCCCGGCATGTATCGGACGATGGTCTCGAGCAGGCGGGATCCCACGGGGTCGTAGAGAAGGCCGCGGATGAAGGTGGTGCTTTCTGTGCCTTCTTCGAAGGTGTCGTCGGGAATCAGTCGGCGGATGATCGACTTGGGGTCCTTCGCGCTGGCCTTTCCGAAGTGGGAGAGCTCCAGGTATACGAGGACTTGGAGGACTGGGTTTCCAACGGGGTGGGTGGCAAGTGCGCGAAGGTAGGTGTCGTCGAGCACGGAGACCATATCCTGCATGACCTTCTTCAGGGTGCCCTCGAATGATTCGGGCACGCTGCGCTTCTGCGCGACGGGGTTCTCGTCCTGCACTTCGTTGAGGACGCCGTGTCTCTCCTTCTTGCGACTAGCAACGACCGAGTCGCTTAAGGATAGATCGACAGGCTCTCCTGCCAGCACCAGAAGGAGAACGCGAATGGTGTGCGACGCAAAACGCTCCGTCAGCAAGTATCCCCAGTTTCCTTCCAGCTCCTCGATGACCTTCATGAACATCTCCGCTAGCGACAGTTCGGGTTCGGGCTCGTCTCCATCCTCGGCGTCGGTCTTGCTAGCCTTCTTTGATGGCTTTTGCGACACTCCTGGCGCAGCGTGGATAAACAGAGTCTCGCAACAATGACTGGCGAATCGGTGCTGGACCAGGTGCAAGAAATGCCCGATGAATTTGTTGAACAGTCTCCGTATTTGGCGTATGTCCGACATGGAGATCAACTTCTCCATAAGTCGGGAACAGGACTGACTGCACGAGATCTTCAATTCCTTGCCCTCGGCCTCTTTGTAGACACTCTCAACGAAGACTCGTCGCTCCTCCGCATCTCCGAACTGGTTGGTTTCCAACACCTCGTTTGCACGCGAGAAGTATTCCTGCTCCTCAGGATCGAGAAGACCGTAGAAGGGCATATCACCCGTCTGCGCCATCTCCTCGTCCTGTTGTTGTCCATCGTCCAAAGCGATATAGTCGGCACCGTTAACGAAGTCGTTAGTCTCGTCTTCGGAAGGTTTCACTCGTTTGGGCACGACATCTTCGGGGGCGTCGTCGCGCTTCCGCTTGCTGGCTTCCTTGCTGGCTTTTTCGGTGGCGCGACGGCCTCTCTTGACCTTTTCACGAGGCATGATGTGACGATGTGCAAATGGGAGTTGAAGGGGGAAGTTTTCTTCTCGCCGATTCGCTTTTTTTCTGCGTTTTTCCCGCAATCGATAAGCGGTGGTCCGAGCGTCTTCCACCGCGGTTTGTCTTGTTTGCATTGCTTCTACTCCCTAGAGCAACTTTCATTTCACAATAATTTCTTCATGACAACTGTTGTGAAGAAGACGAGATAATAGCATTAAATACTCAAGAGGTGACTTAAATTAGTCATTAAGATGCGACATCAGTCACCCCCGACGTTGAACTGACTTCAAAGCTGCTGCGGGACTATACAATGCCAGACTCAGTGCTCATGAATGTGATTGCTGACAATATAGATAGTGGATTTACTACAGAATTGGCTAATCCGACTAGAATGAAGAAGACGAAGGAACAAGACTGATGGAAACCCTTGAACGCTATGAAAATCAAGTCCGAAATTCTCACTGAACTTCTAGCAGACACCGATGTCCCTTCGTTGATACCAGGAAATGCAGGACTTGCTCCATGTCCTCATCACTCATTCCTTCTCGGGATGATACCTCGGATCTTGGAAACTCTCGGAAGAAATGGGCAGTAGCCAAGCGCAGCTCTATCCGAGCCAAGTGCAGTCCAAGACAGTCTGTTACGGTCGGGTTAGCTGCTGGCTGACGTGCTCTACAGTCCACAGTCGGCACTTACTACGTGTCCCTGCCCCAAATGGCATGAATGCATCCTTCATCTTCTGGGTAGGCGAAGACCAACGGGAAGGGTCGAACCTATACAAGTACTAGTTAACAACCTCGGACTTGGCCAGCCCGAGTGCGAATGATTGGACCACCTACTTTTCGGGCTCCGAGAACGCAAGGGGATCACGGTGCAAGCTCCAGAGTTGCGTCGTTACAGTGCTCCCTCCGGGAACCCAATGGCCACCGAGTATTGCCCCGCGTGGTGGTACAACGCGAGGGAGAGCACAAGGGACAGCAGGATACAGGCGCAAGGTCTCGTCAATGACCTGGTTCAGATAAGATAAGTTCTGGACATCCTTATCAGAGAATTGCTCGGAAAGTGTGGCCACCTCGGCAACAAGTGCTTGCCGAATTTTTGGTGTTTTGCAGACTGCCCAGGTGAGATAGGTCAAAGTGTTAGCAGTGGTGTCACTCCCAGCGATGATGAGGTCGGAGGCATCATCACGGATTTCCGCATCAGGCAATCCTGCTTTGCCAGCATTATACAGCTTCGTGAAAAGTGTAGGCTTGACATTGTCGGGGCTAGCGGCTAGCAGCTCTTTGTACCGATTAATGGACTCGTCAGCATACTTTACTGTTCGATTCCGGCTCTTGTTAGCCTCCTTGAAGAAAGGGATCGGCAGGAATGTCGCGAGCCTGGAGAGCACAGGAAAAGCTGCTCGAGACTCTCCGACGAAGGCGGCTATCTCCATGTCTTTGATGTGCTGATTTTTCTGTGTGCCTCGTTAATCCACGTCCAGAAGCTCGGCTGGCGATAGGCTATAATACCTTGCCTTGTTCCAACATCCGGAATGAGTTCCCGAAGGACAGTTCCCCAATAATGTCGCTAGCCATAAAGAAGAACCATTTCTGGACATCCGCTACCCCACGGATGGTCATCTCCTCTCGCATGCGTTGCATCGTGAGGCGGATGCGGTTCTCTATCGAGGGCTCCAGTAAATGCAAGTTCGCATCTGCGAAGGGCGATGAAAGGAGTCTGCGATGTTTACTGTGGAACTTTGGATCCGTAGTAGTGAAAATACTTTTTGCATTGTCGTGCTTGAACAGTTCGTATACTGGCGACTTCAGGAAGCCACTTCCTATGCGATGGATCTCCCGAGCCCCAGCAATCTCAGCAATGTCGACTGCGTTCGGGCCAACCCGAACGACAGGACCTGCATAGAGGCAAGCAATTAGCCCCGAGGATGATTCTGTCCAACGAGATGCCCTTACCATATTGTCGATGTAGCGCTTGCACATATCGTGGCCGATTCCCTATGACCGTTTGATATCTGATGAAGATATCCGTCCACTTACACAGGAAGGGGCCGGGGACCGATGACAACGGGTTCCTTCGTTCGCGGTAAATATTCTACTCGTTTGCATGTTTAGCCTCGATCTATCAGGCGGAAACAAAAGATAACTCACAGTTACGACATAGAAGATGAGGACAAGAAAGATCAAAGCCGGACCATGGCTAGCAACGAAGTTGGACCCCATCGCGCTTGCTGGGTGAAGAATTACTGGATCCTCAATGAACTAATGTCACGATCGACTGTCGGCTCTCGATATTCTCTTTATAATGCAGAATGGAGGTAGGCTAGATTATGGACCGCTTCCTCAAATAATAGCTGAAACGTGGGACGTGCGATGAAGTAATACCAAGTACCACCGAAAACGGACTGCAACTGAAGCTTCTGCCAGATAACAGTACACCATCCTCTCTAACAGCCAATAAGGGTACACAAGCTTACGGACTGGCTCATGCTCAATGTTTGTTCGAGGTAGCGACTATCTCATATTGTCCGCGGATAGAGCAGCCGACACCCTGACGCAAGGTGCAGGGTGATCGCAGGGTTGAGATGAATTGGATGGCAATCATCCCATGGGCTCGACATCCAGATCTGCTTGATGAAGTGGGATTTATTTTGAGCTCAACCTAGCGGTGTAACTGCCTGCGCAATGTACTTGCATTTTACTACATACCTTGCATATCAGCAGTTACACTGGTGAACTGGCTGCCATGGAGCAAGCCAAAGATCGATATCAAAGATGATGTGGCACGACAATGCCATTATTCACTGGAAAATTAAGCCAGCCTTTGACTGCTCACTGATTAGGTAAAACTGGTCATCACTGAACCGACCGTCGTTCATCCCTAGTGATCGCCGCCAACTGGCACCGTTTGGAAGCCCTATCTCGACCGCATCCGGAGCCGCGACCGAACATAAACCCTCCACCAGGAGAACGGCAGCACCTGCACTAATTACAAACCTAATTTGCCTGCCATGACCTGGCTGACAGTCGTGTTCTCGAACGACTCAACTTTAATTATCTTCCCTACTGTTCATCTTTCGGGTCGCGACTCTCATCCGTGGTTACCATTGGCTCGCGGGCGGTTCCGAGCATCATCGACTTGCCCTGGATACAACCTTGCTATCACTGGCCAGCGTCATCGACCCGTCAACTTCCGGATACCGTTGCTGGCTCGCTGTGCTATGACCCCTGCTACAATCTACTCTGATGTTGTCTCATCCCTTTCTCTCCGCTGCTGCTCGCGATGCATGCGCGGCTTCAAGGCATCAGCAGAAGTTGTTGACAGGAGCTCAAGCCAATCAAGGTGATCCCGGAGTGTCTCAATTGACACGATTAATTGGCTTGCGATGCCTCTGTTGTACGTGCGGGCTGTAGTCCCCTTTGAGGCCGGGGCGAATGCCACCGATGTGCTCATCAACGAGGTCCATTTTAATCGAACCGCACTGAACTACTATCACTACACGCTCTTCAGCAATGGAACTCTTTCCAATGGTACGGACTGCTATCTCGCCTTTAATCAGTTCCAACCACACATGAACGAGAATGGGACTTTCGTGAACGGGACCTCCTGCTATGCACCCATTCGGGATATGGGTCGACATGCGTCGGCTGGTCTGGCTTTTGCCTTCATGTTTGCCTTCGCCATTGTTTTCACCTTGATCAACATGCGCAAGCATAGCCGGCGGTACCTGCCTGCTGATCGCCGGTGGACACTCCTGGGCCGTCGGGCGAAATGGATCTGGATGCTTTTCATTGCCGCCTGCGGTACCATTAGCTGCTTCATGAGCATCGACGTGGATCGGGGGTACATCGTGAGCGTCCCGCTGATTCTGCAGAGTGTGTTCTACACGCTGTTGACGCCGGGGATGATGGCCGCGGTATGGGAGGCGGTGCGGCACTGGTCAGTGATGATAAGTTGCATACCCAGTCTTGTGAAGCAGAACTGACACAAATTGCAGGGGCTCCTGGCAAGAGCGACAGATCTACGATCGGGATCCGTACGCATTCCAAGTATCCAGCAGCCGGCAAGGGCAGGAGTTTGTGCTCCCGCTCGTCTTCTACGGATGCGCTTTGGCTAATTTTGTCTTGACCGTTCCGCGCTCCTGGACTGCCATTGAGATGCAACGCAGTCTTGACCAACAGCTCAATGAAGCCAAGCCAGTGGCTACAGATGTACGATGGCGTGCTGCCGGATTTGTCGCAGTAGCTGGCGTCTTAGTGATCTGCTACAGCCTGGAGCATAGCATCTACCGCTACCGGGCGCGACCAACCAGTACCATAGGTCAGCTCTTATTCTACCTGAATGCGGCTCCATCGCAGTTCCTTATAGCTATTGTGTTGCTTGGCATAAAAATCGGCTACGCTATTGCTTCTGCCTTCGACTGGACGATATCCCCCTTGAGATACGGAGTCGATTCTGGATGGTTTTACGGGCTGGGATACACACCGGTGCTGCTCTTGCTCATTCTGTTCAACATCTGTGGATTCTGTGAACTTAATGAAGATAAGGCCTTGATCGTGCAGCGAGACGAGTTCAACCATGCAGTTGCCGATGCTGTGGGTGTCGGGCAGAGGAAGCCCAGCTGGTGGAAGAAGAGCCGCACCTTCGTTCGAGAGCTTAGCGATCATCACCGACGCCGGGGCTCGCAGCAAGACGATCGTGATATGAGTCGGTTTGTGGAAATGGGGATCATCAAGCCACGAGAGCAACCGCAGGAGGACGAACCCAAGCCAGAGACGTGGGTGACGACGCGGACTGCCAGCCAGGGTAGCGAGTCGACTGCGGTGGCGCATACGGAGAGTAATTTGGAGAGCAGCCCACCGTATGTCGAGTATACACTGCAGCAAGAATTGTCTCGTGATTTTTCTACTGAGGCAGAGGTACATGGGCGCCCGCAGACTGGAAGGGACATATTGGGATAAGAAGAGAACAAACCTGTAGGAATACGGATGTCATTGGAGGAAGTAGATA